CGGTTCAGCTTGCTACTGACCATGCTACCAAGTTGGGGCTCTGTGTAAATTTTAAAAGACAGGGAGACTAACTTTCATAGGTGACAGCAATATTCTAAACTGTATCTAATAATAGAATTTGCTAATGGGTGTTGTATTATTACTAATTAATATGTTTTGACATAGATGAGCAATTAATCTTCTTGACTCTTATATTTCTGTCATATTCAGAATTTACAGATCAAAGCTTTCATATTTTCTTTGGGAAAATTCACAGAAAATCTTTTTTTAAAAATAATTGTTTTATTTAACTTTATTTTAATTTGACCAGAGAGGGACATCGAGAAAGTAAGAAAGCAAGCTACTAGATCTGGGACTCAAACTACAGTCAGCCCTGTGGGAGTCCTAACACCCTTAACCACACTACCTGCTGGCCCCTACAGAAATTCTTTAAGCTCAGTCATAGAGTGCAAACACTTGGTATATATTAAGTGGGGACATACAGTGGCTCTCCTTCATAGCATGGCTTGCTTCACTCAGCAGTAAGTCTTCCATATTCATCCACTTACTGTCAAAAGCCAGAGTTTTGTTGTTTTTTATGGATGAACAGTATTGCATTGAGTATATGTGCCACAGATTTTCTAACCATTCATCAGTTCGTGGGCATTTGGGTTGTTTCCAGGATATAGAAACGCAGTATGTAGATGAAATTACCAGATATAGTGTGTGTGAAAGAGGAGGGTCTGAGAAAGGGCATTTGGGGGAGCGACAGGGAGGCAAAGCATTAATGGCACAAAGAGGTGTGACCTTATCTGTTGAAGATATTTCGTAGTTTTATCAGCAGTACTAGGGAGAAATGTTCACCTGTTGAAATATCCATTTTGTAAGACAAATAATAATGTGATTGAATATATGGAAGAAAATGAAATGAAAAAAAATTAATTAAAAAAATTCTTTAGTATTCTCTTTTAGTGCCTCTTTTACTCCAAGGGTTTAACACAGTGTATCACATCCTATTCAGAACGAATTTAGTGGTAGATTTTATACGAAGTAGTACATTGTAATAATTCATTTTGTTTGTATGAGTAATTAAGTTCTGCTGTAATGAAAGAACTTCACAGAAGTGTAACGAAAGGTAACTTCTCAAACCTAGATATTAATGAACTCCTAGATATTAAATAACTTCTCAGATTCATGATATATATTAGTATTTGATTATTTATAGTGGTTGCTTATAGAGATAGTTGAGATTATATCATGCTTACATTTTTTTTTTCTTTGTGCGGGTGAGGTGGTAAAAAAAGAACATGAGGGAGGGGGCGGATTGGTGTGGTTGTTAAGGCAGCTGGACTCCCACATGGCTGACCCCAGTTCCAGTCCTTGACCTGGTGGCTTGCTTTCTCACTTTCTTTTCTCTCTGTCTCTGGTCAATGTCAAAAAAATTTTTTTAAAAAATGACAATAAAATTAAATAAAAAATAATTATTTAAAAAATGAAATCTGAGCAGCGCAGCAATGTCAGCAGTGGCGGGTGCCATTCAGAACCGTTGAGACGCCTCTGCGGCACCTTGGGGGCACAGGTGGCTTGTGTTGACTGGGGCAGAGGTGGCCAGCCTGTAACCGCAGCCTCAGCGCCCGCAGGCCACTTCGGGGCACCCCGAAGCATCCTCCCTCGCCCCTGGCCAAGGAGCTCAGTGCTCTAAATCCCTTTGCCTCCCCTCCTGGGTTTCAGATCCCCACCTTGCCCCTGAAACATGACTCACGACTTCAAACCTGGAGACCTCATCTTTGCCAAGATGAAAGGTTAGTGGATGAAGTTCCTGATGGAGCTATAAAACCACCCAAAAACAAACTACTCATTTTCTTCTTTGGAACTCATGAGACTGCTTTCTTAGGACCAAAGGATATATTTTCTTACTCAGAAAATAAGGAAAAATATGGCAGACCAAATAAACAAAAAGGTTTTCATGAAGGCTTACAGGAGATAGATAACAATCCAAAAGTGAAATTTTCAAGTCAACAGGCATCTACTAAACAGTCAAACACTTCATCTGATGTTGAAATTGAATAAAAAGAAACTAGTGTTTCAAAGGAAGATACTAATTATGAAGAAAAAAATGAGCAATGAAGATGTAACTAAGGCAGTTGACATAACCACTCCCAAAGCTGCCAGAAGAGGGAGGAAGAGAAAAGCAGAAAAACAAGTAGAAATCAAGGAGGCAGGAGTAGTGACAACAGCAACAGCATCTGTTAATCTAAAAGTGAGCCCTAAAAGAGGACAACCTGCAGCTACAGAGGTCAAGATTCCAAAGCCGAGGCAGACCCAAATGGTAAAGCAGCCCTGTCTTGCAGAGACCGACACGGTTACTGAAGAAGACAAAATTAAGAAAAAGGGGCAAGAGGAAAAACAACCTAAAAAGCAGCTTTAAAAGTATGAAGAGGGTCAGAGGGAAGAAGATAAACCAAGAAAAGAGCCAGGCAAAAAAGAACTGAAGAAAGAAGGTGAATCTAAAAGGAAACATTTAACTAAAATGGGGGTTACATCAGCCTCTGATTCTGAAGAAGAAGGAGATGATCAAGAGGGTGAAAAGAAGAGAAGAGGTGGAAGAAACTCTCAGACTGCTCACAGAAGGGATATAGACAGTTAAATTTTTTAGATACACAGTATAGGCCAACACGAGAAAGAAGCAGCAGATTGAAAAGGCAAGCAAGAGGAACAAATGGGAACCAAGCACCAAACAACATGTCGTCTACAGTAGTACAAAATATATCTCATTTTGGGCTCAAAGCGTTAATCCAGTAACTGAAAAGAGAATACAAGTGGCGCAAACAAGAGATGAAGATCTTGAGACAGACTCATTGGACTGAATTTCCCCTTCTCCCCTTGATGGAAGAATGTTCCAGATTCTAAATTGAGGACTTCATTATTAATGGCATTATTACTGTGTTATGATTATTAACAAATTTCATGTAAGGTACACACTACATACTAAGGTCGGTCATCATTCCTGTTCAATTTTTTTACCAAGCTTAAAATGAAGTTTTGTGTTTGAAAATTATAATAAGCTCAGATGAAGATGGTGGTTGTACATTATTTCATTAGAAAATATAAAAACTCATTTTATTTTGAAGCTCGATATTGAACTGGAATAGCTATTACACCCCTGAGAATGGGGCAGTTGTGCTCTTCCCTTGACAGTCCTTTGTTGTTTAACTCTTTAGAATCTGTTACTTTTTAATCCTGAGAGATTAAACAGTAGACTTGTTAAAAAAATGAAGCTGTAACCAAAATTTTAAAATAAAGTTTTAAAAAAACAAATCTACTTTCTTAAAAAATTTAGTGTACAATACAGTATTGTTAACTATGTATTTGTTGAACTGGTTTAATATTGGTGTAAAATTTTATATAAGTTCTTATTACTTCCTTATGAATTCATAGATTTGCAGTCTGCATAACTGTAAATAATAAGTAATTACATATGAATTACAAAATGTTGTCACTGACTAAACATGATAATTATGAGCATTTTGATTTTATTTCAGAGTTTTCTTGGAGGATTTTTTGGTCCCATTTGTGAGATTGATGTTGTCCTTAATGATGGAGAAACCAGGAAAATGGCAGAAATGAAAACTGAAGATGGCAAAGTAGAAAAACATTATCTCTTCTATGATGGAGAATCTGTTTCAGGAAAGGTAAATCTTTTTTGTTTGGCAGAGTTACCTAGTTGTAGGATGTTAGAATTAGCCATCAAAGTGGTCTGTGCTGTTTCTAAATAGGAATGGTTTTATTAGAGACAGGAAGTTTTTATTGAAGGTCAACTAAAATCCTTGATTGATTAAAACATTTACAGGAAATGTTTTTACCCTGGAAGGGTTTCAGGGGCAGAGTTTCTAAATGTCATACAAAAATTTCCATTTGTGGCTATGCATTTGTCTAGCTTCAGACAGGCTTCTCTAGGGTAGGGCTATGAACAACCTAGTTTTTCTCCTTTAAAATAAAATTGAGTTCTTTAGATTGGGGGTTATTTTCTGTTACAGCTTTATAAAGGTTTCAATCTCATTCTTTGTAGCCTATGTCTCTGTACTACCATGTGTCTGTTGATCTCATTTTTTGCTACTCTGTAGAGGACCTGTGTACTTCTAGAATGTGTCTATGCATGGTCAGACACATTTAGGATATCTTCTGTAAGGCTTAACTTTCCCCCCATTTCTTACCTGGTGAGGCATAAGATTATTTTGATACTTCAGGGAATATGATCAGTACTAATTAGTATGTGACAGTAGGAAATGGTAATATCAGAAAAAGGCAACCCAAAAAGCAGTTGGAAAAAAATTTTTTTTTTACATTTTTGCTGTGGGAGTATGTGCTCACCAGAGAGAGAAGAGAAATCACCCCCCCCCCGGGGGGGGATGGTCATGCAGCCATACACTCTCCTCTCAGAGAC